GAACAGGATAACTCTATTAATTTTTTAGACTTAACTATTACGATAGCGCAAAACAAATTAGATTTTTCAATTTACCATAAACCTTCACACACGGACACAGTCATACATAACAGCTCAAATCACCCTTATACACACAAAATGGCTGCATTTCACTCTTTTATACACAGACTTCTTAATACGTCACTCTCAACAGAAAATTACAACAAATAACTTAATATCATTAAACAAATTGCACTGAACAACGGCTACAATCCGTCCATTATAGATAAAATTATAAATAAAAAACAAATCCAGACAACAGTAAACTCTATTTAACCGAAACCTAAAAAAGAACACGGACAATTTAAAACAATTACATAGATAGGAGAACCTAGTGAAAAAGTTTCAAAACATTTGTCAAAATGTGGTTTAAAAATAGCTTTCAGAACTAATAACACAATAGGAAAATTTTAAAAAAATAATAAAACGAAATGTCCAAAATCTCAAAAATCAGGTGTTTACAGGTTGAAATGCGGATCTTGTTCTAAAATCTATATTAGACAAAGAAGTAGATCCTTCAAGAAACGCATTAACGAATATAAAAGAGAGTTTAAAAACAATAGTCTAGATTCTAATTACGCTACACACTTAAACACAGAAAAACATATTTTTGACGACAATTTTGATATTTTACATACAGCCACAAAAAGTAGAAAATTAAATTCATTGGAAGCCACGGAGATTAACAAAATGAGACATTCAAATGTATTAACGATTAATTAGATTTAAATACCTCTCCTTTATTGAACATAAATTCTCACAACAACATTAATTAAGTATATAGTAGCAGGTAGTTTGTAAATATTACATTTGATAAAGACACGGTTTTGTCGAAACAGTTGTCATGTAAAAATATATAATTTCGTGAAAATCTGAACTTTACTTACTTACTAACACTTGTTCTGAAAATTTAGTTATTTCCATAAGAGTCGATGTTCTGTCGATCTAAAATATTTTCAATGGTACGACGTTGCCGCTTCTTCGAAAAAGTTGCATCAACAATGAATCTTTAAACGAGACATCATGTATGCGCTAATAATTTGTGATTGTTTTTGAATAATACATTCCAATACCTTTAGTTGTTTTCGAGAAATTAATTATTTTCATTATTTTTCGACCAAAACATAACCTCAATTAAATTTTTATTACTACGACACTGTAGCCACTAGAAGGTTAAAATCTTCTACTGCACATTATTTCTATGTCATACAGGGTTGCTCAAAATTAGTCATTTGCCTATGAAATACAAAAATGGTGAAAAGTGCATTTTTTGGTTTGTTATCTGTAATAAAAGCTTGTTACTTCGGCGTAATTCAACTCTTAAGTGGCCATGAAATATCCGTCTTATGTTAAATAATTTATTTCCCGTTTGACAGTTAAATAAAGATTTACTCAATATTCTAATGCTGTTTTAATGAATTTGTTTACTATGCATGGACAATGCAGTCACATTATAGTCGGAACATGCAGAAAATTTAATGAAACGAATCCTAACTTACACTACAAGAGAAAATTTGCCAGAATTAAGAGAATCTTTACAAAGCATTTTACTAAAAAGATAAAAAAAATCTATTTACACTAACAAAATATTAGGTACTTAAAATAAAAATTTCCACAGATAAATGAATGTTTACCTTAGTGTTCACCACTGCTTTCTAAGCATTTTAAAATCGGTTGTAGTGGACTGATTGTAGTAGCCTTCTTTATATTCGACGGATCCATTTATCCAAAGCATCGTACATTACTATGACGTAAGTCTCCCTTGTTCTGCACCGGTGTCAAACAGACGCGTGACTTTAAAGCACCCCATCTAGTTGATACCAAGAGGTCCTGAAGGCTAAAATATATGTAAATCATTTTCGAATATAAAAACCAACAATACATATATGAAATTTATTGAAATATATTAAATCACTTATATTTTAATCCAGTTAGATTATTATAACATATAAATCTTTATTTTCATTTTTAATTACACTAGTGCCCTATATTTTTGCTTTTTTTACCTAGTCATTATAAACAAGACCATGGTACTTAACTATTTACATGTAAGCATCTAAGCATGTTTTATATATTAAAAACTATTTATACTTATATATAATATATTGTTTCATTCCATGATATATACAACTTTTTATGTACCATCATTGATCTGCCTTTATTATTTTTAATAGTACTATTAACACTATCGACCTTGACAACAGTATATGAGCCATTAAACGAAAGGGCTAATTTCAGTCGTTTTTCATTTATTTACCGTATATTCCAATTTAATCTTTAGACTTACTATCCAAGAACGTTTTACGAATTTTCTTTGCTTTTGCTAGATTCATCAGCTCCTTTCGTTCCAACTTCTGATACGCTACTATATTCATAGATGATCTCGTATCTTTGATCATGTGCCACAAGTTTGACTATGCGGATAACTTAAAGTGCAACAAAATCGGTACTGATTACAGGAGTCTCTAGGTCAACATCAATATTGTGTACCAACAATAAATTGCAAAATAAATGGCTTCCTACCACCGCACAAAAACTGCTCTAGGGTATGGATGGTACTATCCTGACTAAACTTGTCACTGTAAATGATCTGGCACAATACCAAAATCTACTATTAAAATATAAATGTAATGTTGGGAACAAGCTTGATTATGGTATGGTCACCAATATGTAACTTCCACGCTCAGTTCAAAGGGGGTATAAGCATAGACATTTTCTTTCTAATTATTCCTGATGCTGCGAATCAAATGATCATTTTTTATAAAACAAGCCGTCCTTACTCCAGGAGACCTGGTTTCACACAAGTATAAACATTCAAAAACACCTACACCTGGAGCGGTAGGTTCTCCCAGAATAATATTACTTAATAACCTAAACGTAGACGTAGAAGATGTGTCAACCGATTCGGAAGAACGATTCCATTGGGTTGTCGGATTAAGTTTCTAATAACTGCAGCAGTTGTTGTTACTGTAAACTGTCATGGCACTTCAAAGAATTGAAGTTGTCGCCTTTTTCCATATCTTCTGCGAACTCTTCCATAAACCAACTTGACTGTTCACTGAAAACGCTCCGATTTCATTCCTGACCCCAGTAACTTCATCCTTGATACCATGCGAGACGTAGGAAACTATAACAATCAGGTGTTAAAGAAATTCATTAAAAACGAGGAAGGTTTTTTAATCATACCTTCTGTAGCCCATAATCCGTAATTTTTCAATAAAAATATTTCATGGATATCGGTAAGCCTGTAGTTATTTCCGATGGTTGTGCCGAAACATTCTCTCTAAGGGCACTAAGCCTTAGTGCCTTAGTGTCTTAGAACTTTTCTTGTGATCGAAAAATAGTATCTCTATTTCGATCTTTTGGGTGTGTTATGAATTAACAGGCAAATGATAATTTTGCATAAGTTTTTTGTTTTTCAAAATGACCTAAAGTGAATGTACGTTAGTCTAGACGTTAACCTGATAATTGCTAAACATTGTGTAAAGTTAAGTAAGTTAATTAGTTTTAATTGGTGTGATTAAAATTTATAGGTATTAATATAATTCCAGCACAATGAAAAATATATGCAATTAAGACAACAGGGGTATATATAATTTTGCTTTTTATGGCAGACGGCTCTTGTATGATGGTAATTGCAGCAGAAAGAAGATTAATATATGTTTGCGACTTTATCGTTATTCATTTAGGATAAGAAACGGGATTGGTTTCGCTTGCTATTAGGGCTTTAGTTGTTTTCAAGACGCTGCTTCCACAATTAAAATAACATTAAATTAATATTTCGTAGAACTCAAATTATAATGACATTTGAGGGCTATACTATGACAAATTTGAAATGCTACATGTTCATGTAAAGAAAAATGCAATTTACAATAATGTGCACGCAAAAAATGTTACTTGTTACTTTTAAAAAATATAATTTTTCGGAAATACCTACGCTCGTATAAAAATTTTATATCTCGGTAACGGTAGGTCCAATGAGATCGCCATTGCTACAGAAATGATCAAAGTCGAAAAAAAATTTTTTTTGTCTGTTTATCCGTTCTCCGTTCTCGTCTTTTGATTTTACCTGAATAACTTTCTAACCGTTGGAGCTACAAAACTGAAATTTTCCTTCTTTTTAACCTTCCACGAGATACATAAGCTTGTAAGAAACGGCCTCGATGCGACGCCGGCATCCATCTTTTTTTTCGCGATTTTCGACTGTTGTTTGAACATTGCTGTGAAACACGATAAGTGTCCGAAATTTGAAGCAATCGACTTCATATTTGGCAGCTTTGCCCCGTGACGGAACCTATTGAAACTGGTGGGGTGCTGGGGGGTCAGGAAGTATTTTTAAAAAAATTAAAAATGGCCTGTGCAAGGGCCTACAAAAAAGACCATTTTTCTAAAACAAGACCGACAAAATTCTTGAACCGAAGACGCAGAGGATACAGGGTGCGCCGTAAATTCCAAAAAACTGAAAAATGGGTCCCCCTATTATTGAAAATTGACAATAATTTAAAATCTATGTTTTAGATGTCAGCTTTTTTACATGACTATATAGCCCGTATAAACAGCTAAAACTTTTGTATTTGAGGTTTTTATGTATTGTGCAGGGTGTTCGCGATACTCCGTGCAATATTAAAAAACGTAATAAGTGTCCCAAATTTGCAGCTACCGACTTTTTCTATTTTTGAATTTTTTTTTGGTTATTTTGGCTTCCAGATAAACATTTTTTCCTCCAAAACCATCCATCTGATCGGAAAAAATTTACAACCGCGAAGCGGCTTCCTTTGGAAATAAAACGCTGATTCGCGCTATTTGCGACGAACTTGCCTCGCCCAGTGACGATTTTTCAAAAGCAATCTTGTTTTTGAAGTATCCAAGAGTGCCACAAGTGGCATCCTTCAAACTTCACCATTTAATTTTCTTCATATTGCGTCTGGTTTAGTCTGCAGATGCTTTTTTTTTTGTTGCAGGGCCAGTCACACTGACGTTGTCTAGAAGTCTCGAGACGATAATGTCATATTACCAAAACCGAACTTTTATAGATTGTTCCTCGGGACCAATAAAACCCATGGGACAAGCGATATTAGTATTTACATCCGATGGTCGTTTGACCGATTCGGATATCACCAGATCGGAGCAGGCAGTGACTTCTATAAAATCAGCCTACCCGCATACTAGTATCGTTTATGTTAGCCAAGACAGTGGCGGAGTGTTAAAGCAATTCATTAAAGACGAGGAAGATTTTTTAATCGTACCTTCTGTCGATGTCCTTTCCACGGTTACTTTAATAACAGAAAAGTTAAGTACCGTGCCGGCCAGCATCGTAAAATTTTATTGTAACCATTCAGATGTTCGATTTGAAGATTACCTTACACCTGGTTTGGAACGGGTATATGAAGTTCATCGCGAGTATATCAGAAGTGGCTACATCACCTCAAAGGTAAATATTTTATGACCAATACATTCCTTAGATTGTCAATTGCTAGCCAGTGTTAAAATGTCGTGGATCAATTTTGAATTTTTTAATAGCCCAGTAGCAAATAGATGTAATATAGATGGATGGATTTACCGAGGCAATTACTTTTGCAACCGATTGTTTCGACCTGTTTTTTTTCTTTAAATTCCTAGGCAAATGATAGGCCTGAATTTATAAAATATCCAATTATACACGTGAGTTTCGTGTCCCACGGATCCGAGCCACTTCGGGCATTGTTTCAAAAAATGTACACCGAAATTAACGGTCGTAGAAAAAGTATAGTATGCAACAAGTTTGGTTTACCTCAATTGTTGCATAATGTACTACGTTTTTCTTTATAGTAGCTATATGGTTATACTAGTAAATAAAAAAACTACTTTTATATATTTTTAAAAGGAACTACTGAGTGCTGAGTGTTAAATTTTTGTTTCTTCTCGAGGAAATCAATTGTAAAGTGATATATTGTACCAACTTATTTACATCCGGCATAATCGTTTGATCATACATAATTTTTTAAATTCATTTTTAACCTGTCCGCTTTTGTTTAAAATTTTTCAATAAATTCTTGAAACTTGACGAAAAAATTTTTTGAAATTCTTACATATATAGTGTGTATTTTACCCAATGTACTAGATAATTTTATTTGAAGTTGAGTAATGTCTGGCGCAGTAAGGAAAATTCAATTTTATCAAATTATTACTATAGGAACAAATTTCTGTACTACATAGGGTGTAATAAAAAAGTTGCAACGCAAATATTCTTTGGCTAGGAGCGTCTTTGTACGCCTTCCCATTGGAGGGCTTTGTTTTCAATATACAGGGTTGCACAATTACATTCTTCAAATGCACATTTATTAATATCTCCATTAATTAGAGTAATTTTATGCTTAATATTTAAGCTAGGATTAATTGTGGATATAGTTTACTTCTTTCATAGTTGCCAAAAAAATCTTAACACAAGGTCAGATAAGTAAATATATCTCCTAAAAATTTTGACAAGATGCTCTACAAAAAGTTAACTTCAAGTGAAAATGATTTCACATAGATTTCCCATAAACGATATGTGGTGTGTGTATTATATGGCAAACATGGCAGCCATTTTTGTTGTCGATCGCTTCGTTTGCCAGCTCATAAGTTAATTAGATACGTGTAAGTAAGTAGTAATTTCGTGACTCGTAAAATTTCATTTCATATTCTTGTCGTACGCGGCAAATACGTGTTTTAGCCGCTTTCCCAGTGTACATAAAAACCAATGGCACTGAATGTAGAGGTAATATGTTAAACAGAACTTATAAAAATTCATAACAGCCACTAAACTAGTGAAAAATTAACATTCGTGTGAAGTTTAGTTTCAATGCAGTAAACCAATTCACTTCACTTCAATGAAAATCACGTTTCTGCATCGAATATGGGAGCAAAACTCACTGTCATTAATTGTGTGTGCTAGTGGAAGCTCTTATAGAAAAAGTATTCAACTAGTTAACTAAGTTGTAGACTTTTATTACAAACACATATTTTTTCTTTCAAAGAAAATTTGTTATTAGTATAATATTTATTTATTATAGAGGGTATTGTCCAACCTCTCTCACAAAAGGCGACAAAACCTCTAACAAAAGGAAGGAGGACAATTCTCACTTAATTTTAAGACGCGTTTTCGAAATACAAAATTAAAAAATAAATAAATAAATTTTGTGCGTTTTATTTTTATTATTCAATGGTAAATGATATTCCAATTATATACTCTAAATTGTGTCTATTCTAAATGTTTCAATTAGTTCACTGGCGGAGATGCGGGAATCTCACGTAAAAATTAATTTTATCTCTTACGATATGACAGTTAGCAATCATTTTTAAGGCAGGTACAGCAATAGTCATTTTCATTATTGAAAAACTTTGACCGATGTTCGCTAAGTAGTGTACCAAAATTCCTAGTTATGTGTACCAAATATCCGCTAATTAATAATTTAAAGAAAACGCATAACATTTTATTGTTAGAACACCCTGTATTTCAAAAACGAAGCGGCATGGAATTTATTAAATATTTTCGTGTTAAAATTAAATGACAATTCTCCTGTTTTTGTCAGAGAAGTTAGGAGACATCCTGTGTTATAAGTATTGTCATAGAAAATGTTCTGTAAAAATACAATAATATATATAGTGTCATCACATTTTTCCATCCGTGAATCAATACGTGAGAATATATATATATATATATATATATATATATATATATATATATATATATATATATATATATATATATATATATATATATATATATATATAATGTATATGTATTTAGGTAGAAGTAAAGTAGCATATAACGTGAAAAATAAATAAATAAATGCTTAAAAAAAGGGCAGGTTAATGCATGAAATATATATGCGTTTTTAATAAATTTCTGCTATCGTTTTTTGAATTATTATGTTATGTTATGGAGAGTCATTAGAAAATGAAAAGCTTCCTCCGTCATGATTTTGGTTTATTGGTTCAGACCATATAGGGTGTTTCCTTTGTATACTGTTTTGCCTTGTTGAAATTGGCTTGTTCAAAAAGTCCGGCAATATGCGAAAAAAAAATTTAAAATTCCACGCGAATTTGAGTCGCTGCGTTGCGGTTTACCCAAACGTTTTGAATGTTAATGGAATCCAAAAGGTCGTATTCTTGACGGCCGAAGTTGCATTAGGAATTTTTTAAGATCTATTACGGAATATACCTGATTCGAATGGGAAATTTAAGTTAGCGGGGTTTAAGACAAAGTGGAATTTCGATTTGGTTCGAAACTAATTTTTGTTTAATGGTTTAAAGAAATGCCAACGGGGAAATATTTAGATAGTCGGGATAAAAGAAACCCAGGGTGACTATCAATGAAAAATTAGTCCAACGCTCTAACGTAATGGCAGCAGATTTTATTAAAAGATGCAATGAAGATCTCAACAGCACCAACGCCCTTATTTCATCGTACATCATTTTAACATGCCCAAGATCCAAATTTCATATATTATCAGTTGTCAACTTTGCATAAAAAAGAATAAAATTATCTTATTTATATATGAAATTGACAATAAGAAAAAAAAATTAAAATGATGTAGAATTTTGACACACGCCTCATATTTTTTCATCCGAAGAAAATTTGTTATTATTATAATATTTATTTATTATGCGGTGTGTTGCCACACTGACAACAGAAATGAGGACAATTCTGACTTAATTTTAAGACCCGAATTGTCTCTTCGTTTCGAAATACAGAGTGTCCAAAAGATATATATACCTAGCACATATGTACTCATACTTACTTTCCCTAACACAAAAAAAACGAATAGAACTAAAGATAACGTCACTAAAGATATTTTCAATAATCCGGGTATAAATTGTTTTGGTGTCGTCTGGTATTTGCAAAATTTCATACCACATAAAATAACATCTACTTGCAAACTGTTTTTGTTGCGTTTTTCCTCCTCTCGTATCATCAACGAGCATCTGCATGGTTCGCAGAAAATCAGTTGGGTTAAAAATTAATAAAAATGATGTAGCCGAAATAATCGATTACAAATTATAAATATTAAGTAACTTTAAGCCAAACTAATGCTGCCTGTTTTTTTCAATGTTAGGGTAAATTTTAAACTCAACCTACACAGTAAGTAAATTTTTTATTTTATTATATATAATTAAAATCAACCAAGATCGCAAGTTAATCCACACATTCACATTTTTCTTTTTTTTAATAACATTTTTGGTTCATTTCACAACACGAATTTGAGTATATGGAATCTCTGTAGCAGAAGGACTTTACTTTAACAAGCAAAATTCACAAGGTTTTCCATAGCAGTTTTCTGGTTATTAAGGGAATACTGGCTTCATGTCCAAGCTCTATCAAGAACTTTTGTTGGTTTTTCAACGCTTTTTCCGTGTGGTTCTACTTAATCTGTCTGCTTTCTTTCAATTCAATTCGTTCGTTCAGTAGTTTTCTTATATCGTAAAACTAGGATTATCACGTCTAAGTTAGTCATCTACTTTAAAACTAATATCCGCGAATAAGATTTCATGCTGGCTTAAGAAGATTCGTAAATTACATACCACGAAAAGTCACCAGATCTAAACAAATTACAAGATCAGACAACCAGAGGAGAAGTGATAGATATGATAAATGAAGCCATAGAAACGGTGCCGCAAGAATCTCTAACCTCAATAGATCGACAATGGGAATGGTTTGACAAATCTATAAAAGATACAATGGACAGTAAATTGAAATCAGATAAGAAACCCAAGGAAAAAGTATGGATAACAGAAGAAATTCTGAATCTAATGGAAGACAGAAGACAACAGAAAGTCCGAGGAAATAAGGATGGCTACTTAAGAAATAAGACGGAAAATTAGACATGCGAAAACGGTGAACTTCTCCAACGAATGTGCGGAGATTGTACAGTATGAAAGCAGACATGATGACTTTAGCCCACATAAGAACATAGCAGTGTGAATAAAGTAATTGACAAAAATTGAAGCTCAATCGTTCTAACTCAAAGATGTGATATGAACTGCGATGTATTTATGTGCTTTATCGATTTCGAGAAAGCGTTTGACGCAGTGCAATACCAAAAAAATATTCGAATACTAAAAACAACAATAATTGATGACAAGGACTTGACAATCATTCCAACCTCTACTGGCATCAAAATACATATGTGAAAATAGGAAATAGTATGTCTGAAACCATCTCAATTAGAAGAGGGATAAGACATTTCATTCTGTCACCATTGTTTTCCAATTTATACTCGGAGACAATATTCCAAAAAGGAATAAAAATAAATGGGGTAACAATAAAAAACATATATATATATATATATATATATATATATATATATATATATATATATATATATATATATATATATATATATATATATATATATATATATATATATATATATATATATATATATATATATATATATATATATATATATATATATATATATATTGATGATTCCGTTCTACTCCTAGATCAAGTGATAGCTTCACGCAACCGTTACGATCTTAAACTTAACATGGCTGTAACTAAAAAACCGAATATATATGGAGGACTATGGATCGGCCAAAGTAAAATGAAAAGGTTCAAGAGAATTAAATATCTGGCACAATTATTAAGCGAGGACCGGGACCATTCACTGGAAATAAAATCCAGAATTGAACAAGCAAGAGCAAGGTTCATATGCACCAAGAAATTGATGTGTGGACACGAACTTCTTCTATTCTACTGTATGGAGTAGAATCTTGGACTCTCACAGAGACTACCTTAAAAAAGCTGGAAGCTTTTGTGATGTGGGATGTGGGCGGCGCATGTTGAGGATAATTTGGATAGATCGGGTCATTAACATAGAAGTGGTGAACAGAATGAAGGAAAATAAAGAAGATTAAGATTATGAAACTCTCATACGTTGCTAACATTCGTTAAAAAACGGATACGGCACATCAAGAAAACCGCGAATTATTAAAGCCTCTTTTTTACTAATATTGTGATATTACTATGTATACTAACATTATAATCACAGTTTAGGCTATAGATTAAGTGCATGCTAAACTTTTTAATGTGTTGCAATATATCGCAATTTCCTTAAATTTGGTCGTACCCAGCGAAACTTTGCCTTATTATTATTAACATAATTATTTATTATTTTTTTCAGTTCGTTAATAACGACTACGGCGAAATAGACATCTGCAACATCACCAGTCGGACATCTCCTAATAACAGAGCGTGCAAAACCGTACCGGTTAACGATGAGATCAGTTTTAAATCCGGTGATTTGTGTACGCCAGAATCGCCATGCGATGTTCAATATTCAGTTACCGCGAAAAATAGCCAAATAAAATGTGCAGGTGGGCATTCATCGCTTCTGGAAATATAAATCCATTAAAATCGCTTCGAAACGGTTCGCGACACTGTTGCCATTTTAACGCACGGGTTGAATAAAAAAAAAATCCAATCGTAGCCGCTATATGGCGGAAAGGAAAGTCGCCGGCTCTCGCCCATATTTTTAAAATTACCGGACGCTTTCTCCAGTCGTATGGCTGAAGTTAGATTTGGATTCGGATTTGCGAATATTACAGTGGGCCAGTTCGTTATTTACCTTAATTAAAAGACGTATTCCTGTGAAAATGCTGGGAAAAAAAGCACGGAAATATTGTAAGGAAAGTCCCAAAAGCCATATTTAATGTTGCTATACAGAAAATGACCGCTTTTCGCTTCGCATCACCACAAAATAAATTAATTTACTTACTATTTCCCAAGCTCGAAAAAATATAATGTTGTCCCAGATATTCAGTTAGACTATTAAATAGTCACTTAGGTGAGCTTTAAAATGATGTATTACTCAACCACGTTGAAACGGTCGGGAAGATATAAACCCACCCCCAATATTGAAATAAACAAAAGTTCGATATATTTATTTCGCAATCGCAAAAAAATCTGACGTTGTCAGAGATATTCAATTAGACCATTAAAGAGTCAGTTGGGAGAATTTCACAATGATGTATTACTGAACCACCTTGAAATGGTCGGGAAGATATAAAATTCATTATTGGGGTAGTTTTACATCTTCCTGATTGTTTCAAGATGGTTGAGTAATACATCATTTTGAAGCTCACCTTAGTGGCTCTTTAATGGTCTGTTGAATCTCTGGGACAATGTCAGATTTTTTTGAGATTTCGAAATAGTAATTAAATTATTTTTTGGGGTGATGCAGGCGGAAAAGGGGTTATTTTCGGTATAGCTACATTGGATATGGTTTTTGGGAGTTCCCTTACAATATTTCAGTGCTCACTTACCCAGCATATCTACAGGAATATGTATTTTTAATTACGATAAGTGACTAATTGTTCCACTGTCATATTTGCAAATCCGAATCCGAATCTAACTTCAGCCACATTATTTCTTGAAGCACGAAAAGATCGTGTCACGTGATCGGTTTCCTCCTGTATACCAAGTGGTCGTAGTTTCTGACGTAACGGCTTCCAAGTTTATGAAATGTTATTCCAGATTAAAATTCTCATTTAGCTTTAACCCCGTCCATTTCTTTGTAAAGCCTGGCACACACCATGCAATTTCTGTATAAACTTTGGGTCAACTTTAACTGCTGTCGATTTGGATATGTTTATTTTTAATTGTGCTTTTCAATTCAATTCCTATTACAAGGATTTCTAAATCGTAATGCGTACTTAATTCTCGCATCACTTCTAAAAAAACACCTACTGCCCGAAAAAATTCGATGAAATAAACAAAATTAAATTAAGATGTTTTAACCTGATTTGTGAAACATTTTTCTGAAATCCGGTAAGATGAGGCTAACTGCTCAATTAAAATACTGATGTTTACGGTAGTTGGTGCATGTTTCTTAATCACATGTAGTCCTATTTGTAAGTCAAACAGTATACAGGGTAGGACAAACAATACAAAATTAAACAAAATGTTATTGAGAAAAATTGTTTAGAATTAAAAGTTATGCCTAAATATGAAAACAGGGCCTACTAAGGAAGTTTTTTTGTCTGAAAAATATTAATAATTTTTCTATTATTTTTTAAGAATTAGTTTAACGACTGGCGCAAATTATTCAAAGAAGTGCTTGTTCTAATCTCATTTTAATTGTAAAATTAACTAAGATTTTTAATTTTTTAGCGAAACACAAACGTATTTAAAAACACATAAAATTTTTATAAAAATTCTTTTGAAATCGTCAAGGCATATATAATTATAATATTTATATTAAGAAATCGTCATTTAAATAGCAAATATTGTGTTTTAAATAATAGTTATTATAAAAATTTACTGATGAAGAGAAACTAACCACGAAAAAAACTAAAATAAATAAATAATAACATTAATATTATGGCAAATTTTGTGAACATAGCTTCTTTTGACATTCTTATATTCCGACATTTTTTAAGAGGGGGTTTTCCTCCAACAGCTTCCTGAACTACTTTCAGTTGATTCTCTTCATTATATACAGCTTGACGACATTTATTCCGATTGTATTTACACTCTAAAGACCATGTCTGTTTGAAGTGAGTTAAAATTCTACGAACAGTTGAATAATGAATATATTTTTCTATTCCCGTCTGTAAAATGCCTAATTACACACCGATCTAGCGTGCGGGAAGCGTTACTTTACCACGTCAGTTTCGTTTCCCACGAATCCGAGCCACTTCGGACATTTCCGGGATTTTACCGCATGAATTTGGGAGCAATCGGATGTTTTCGGAGATATTTCCCACGCTTTGAATTTTGACGTTTGTCAATTCTGACGGTCATGTCAGTGAATGTATTCGTGTTGTTTTGCGCACCAAAAACTAACGGTCGTAGAAAAAGTATAGTATGCAACACGTTTGGTAAACTTTTTAACTCACTCGTTTATAAAAAACTCGCTCCGCTGCGCTCTGCTCGTGTCAAATAAACTCGTGAGTCAAATGCCGTTTACCGCATTTGTTGCATAATATACTATTATCTGGATGTCCGTTAAAGATATCTGATCTCCACATATTAAAAGTAACTGTGCTTTCTCAGGTAACGTCTTGCAGGAGGTATTTAAATAAAATGTCTTAATAATCAAGCAATAATAATTAATTAAAAACACATTTGTCTAAAATTTTAGTGATACAAAGTATACATTTACAGGGTGTTTAAAAAAGCCACAGCAATATTTAAGGGGCCGTTTCCGACCAATTTATGAAAAAAATTACCATAAATATAGTTTTTTCAATTAATTCAAATATATCTTCAAGGATTTGGTAGCGTTGTTTCTTGATTTATTGATGAAAATGTACTATCAACAGTGTTTGTAAATTTTTTGTATGATAAATTGTTCGCAAATATTGTTGGAATATTGAAAAATACTTTTACGATTAGCGGACATGCAATAAAATTGTTTTTATTTTTTGTAGTAGTTTTAGTGGCTCGATCTTACGGAAGTGTCGAAATGAAATTAAAGCCAGTGGCGTACATGTTGACCGATTAATTATAGAAAAGTTTCCGCCTTCCTCTTACACCGCTGTTTATTATTTTTTTAATGAGTCCCTTATCAACAGCATTGCCAAATTTCAAAGAAATCCGTGAGAAGATATTTGAAATAATCTAAACTTGGAAAAAACTGTATCTTGGAAACAATGTATTTCAGGATCAACATTTATATCACCTTTTTTCATAAAATGATCTGAAGAAGCCGCCCCCTTAAATATTTGCGGGTCTTTTTTAAACACCTTTTTGTGAAAATCTTTCTCAGAGGCGTGGCAAAAGTGCCATTTTTTTATATCGTATATCAGAACATATTTGCTTTGCAAAAAATGCCCAAATGGTTCAAGAACAATTCATCGTTCGATATTTTTCAAAAAAATTTCAATGAGCAGATTCTTAAACAAAAAATTGTTTGGTTTGTTATTTTTGGAGAACGTGTTTTATTTTGACTTTAGATTTTAATAACAATAGGGAAAACAAATTTGAAGAACGCATTTGATGCAGGTTCATGTTGTAGCTTCAAAAAGTAAATTAGGAAATAAAATGAACAATTTTAAATAGGCGTAGAGAATGAGAAAATAAGTTCGATGTCGTAAATCTTCCGTTTTAATACTTTATTACAGCTGTTTCGGCAACACCGTGCCTTTATCAAACACAAAATATGACTATATTCCGACACTTATATATCAAAACAGGTAGTAATAGATTTTTAATTCCAGGTGTAGGATTATAAAGTTCAATTTAAGAACGGAGACGCATTTAAATCCAATTGGTCATTAAGTAATAAATTCGAATATCTCATTTTGTTAATCTCCATAGCTTCCCACAAATTTAGTTTTTTGCTTTTTGAATGATTACATAAAATATCAAAATTATGCATTTCTAAATTTAAATGAATGGCATTGTTAGAATCCAAACTTTTATTTTTATACGCCCTTTTATGTTCGTTAATGCGTTGCTTAAATGTTCTACCTGTTTGTCCGATATAAATTTTGGGACCAGATCCACATTTCAACGGGTAGACTCCGGATTTTTGAGTTTTTCGTAATTCAGTTTTATTGTTTTTTAAAAAATGTCCTATGGTGTTTTCAGTTTTGAAAGCAATATTAATATCAAATTTAGATAGATGTTTCGCAATTTTCTTCTTTCTATGTATTTTATTGTTTTATAAATTTTGTTTTCGGTGTTTAATATGGGAGAGATATAGTTCAGAGTTATTTAAAACTCTTTTTTAGTTGTAATCTTATCTTCAAAGAGGGATCGTAACTATTGTTAAAAGCTATTTGTTTTATAGTATTTAATTCTTTTTAAAAATTTTCTGTACAAATTGGTACATTAGGTAGTCTATTGATAAAAGCATAAAAGGCACACATTTTGTGTATAAGGGTGATTTGAGTTATTATGTATTATTGTGTCCGTGTGTAAGGGTTTATTCTGGAACAAAGGAAATTTTAATAAGGGAAAAGTACACAAAAGAATATTGAATTATTGTATTCCAGAGAAAAAAATACATTTAAAGTAATTGCGGCAATTCTAAATACTAGATATTCTTTATGTTTAAACGATATTTTTTTGTATAAATTTTAAGCATCAAGCCAATATGATTCGTTAATCATGTATAAACAATTCCATGTACATATTATCAGTAGCATTTGATTGTTATAATTAATTCAAATTCAAATGTTTTTATTAAATTTTGTTGAACGTTGTTAAGGATCAAAATTGAAAATCCACCAAAATAATCATGTCCGTTGAAAAAATTGGCTTGTGTCATTTATAACAGCAATGTTTGTGTCGGAAATTGTACAGTGTCTACCGGGCTTAAGAAATTTGACGGAAATAGCGGAGTTAAACAAGTTAAAATCGTCAGTTTTCATATCGCCGCTAGTAATATTTAATTTTATTCGTTAAGTTTCGAACGGGAGTCAAAAGCTCGAACTTTGCAATTTAAAAATAACCGGTAAACCGGGTTTTCAACGGGCCTAGTTAGTTTTCGACGTAATACAAATGCGGTAAATTGAATTCCCGTTCGAAAACACAATTTTCGAGTGTTTTTTTTTTGTTTTTTAATTTGATTTTCTTCGCCGCATAATAAAAGCCCTCCATAAAACGACAAAAATCGGCGGTATTCTAAAACAATAACTAGGTTGACATTTTTACGATAAACTTTTTAGGGTTCCAAGGTTTATTTGGCTTTTTTCTTTATAACGTAATAATTTTTGTGTAACTAGTGCTTAAACTGATTATTAATATCCAAGGTGTTATTCCAAATTGATACACATAGTATTATATACCATATTTTATGCCTGCAGAATAAGTAAAGTACTTACATGATTTCAGAATCATTTATTAATATCTAATATTTTATTTCTAAACTAAAAAATGTGGATATTATTTTAGTACTTTGGTGTACTCAATTTTTTTTTATAAACGAATTGAAACTAATTCTTTGGCACTTACCTTAGCAACTTGTTAAAAAATCACTAACACTTGATAACATTTATACAGTGTGTCGCAATTAAGATGACCCTATCTAAATAAAAACAGATCTGAAGTTTTCCAGTCACACAGGTTGATGATTTACATTTTTTAAGATATTAAACTGAAATTTAAATTTTTTTCAATAAAAATTTTTCGATATTTTGATTCGCGTTAAAGACATCGGAAAAAATTATTTGAAAAAGTTGAATATGATTTCTACTCCTATCTCCAGTTTTTTCATTATTTTGGTCAATACGTAAAAATTATTAAAAGTTCTTTTTTCTTATTTTATAAGTTATGGACGTGGGCATGTAGAGAAAAATCTCTTGATTGTGGTCAATTTGATAGCGTAATTCATGTAATTTAAATTCTTCAGTAAAATAAATAACTAGTAAAACAAAGGAACAATTATTTTATTGTAAGAAAACGATATTTTTTAGTAGGTAGCTAATTGAATTTAAGATATTAATTGAAACAATAATTGTCATAGTACAAATGACAATTTATCAAAAGCCTCTACTAGTCCTTCATTTATTTGAATACAATTTTCAATTCTTTTAAGATTCTGTCTGGCTAGTCGTCTAAGTTTTGTACTTGACAAAGTTCATCTCGATTTCTGGGCTTTGTTTTATAAACTTTATTTTTTATAACTACTAAAAAATGAAAATCTTGTGGTGTAATATCAGGGCACCTCGGAGGTCATTATTCAAATGGACTCCCTATCCAGCGCATAGGAGATTTTTGGTTGCTTTTGAATTATCTAGCTGGAATCACATATCTTGTCGCACATTGAGAGGAAGATTTTCTACAGCATCCTAGAATTCCCCATTAAAGAACAAATTACCTATTATTTGGTAATAATTTTGTGTAGGTATTGACGAAAATAATGAAAAAATCAACTTTTTCGACTAACTTTCTTAAATTTCAATTCAGCAAAAATATGAGGGTGTCTTCATCTTAAATGCGACACCCTCTACAATAGAAAATATCAAATTAAACTGCAGGACTTTAAAATATCATATTTAGTATGTTTGAATTTTTTAAAAATATCATATATAACATCAAACGATTAACGTGATTTTCAAATAATTTCTGATAATATGATATATTCAGTTTTGCTATTTAAATAACGATTTCCTAGTAGGCCTATTTTAATTGTCAATGCTTTGGCTCCTTAAAAAGATTTTTTATAAAATTGTTATGTATTATTAAACAACACTAAATTTGCTAAATTGATTTGATTTTGAATAATTTGCGACAGTATTTAATATTATCAACAAAAAAAAAAAGAAAATTATTAATATTTTTCTTTCTATATTTTAGCATAATTTTTAGTTCTAAACAAATTTTGATTGAATTTTGCCCATTTTTTAAAATACGGGTACTTTGCTCTTGTGTTTTTTTTTGTAATTTTTTGCCTTTCCCTGTGTGGTGTTGTTTGACTTGGATATTATGTAACATCAAATGATTAACGTAATTTTCAAATAATATTATTTATTTATACATACGTGGGGTCAAATTTAAAAAAATCGATGTGATGTGAAACCTTTTTTTTGACTTTGTCAACCTAGTTTGGGTTAATTGACCTTTGTGCGGCGGTAGTGTTGAAAATTTTTAGTTTTTTCTTCGCAAAAATATAACATTTCTCAGCCCCTGTCGATGTGAACGTTTTCCCAAATAGGGTAGCGCGATTTTACTAAAGGAACGATTAGATCGGGCGACCTTCTGTTTCCTTTTAAAGTGAACTCAAGTGTAAAATGTAAATTAAGTCGCTGTAAATTTTTATTAAAATCCGGCATAAACGTTCGAGTAAGTAACCGGATTGAAAATGTTTCGGAATTAGCATCGTCGAAGAATTCCGTATTATAATTGAAAATTCGCGTCCAAATGACCTTTTAAGGATACATTTCACGCGGACAGTTATTCATAAATAATTGTGGTTTCTGGTTTGATCTGCGAGAAAAAAAAAGCAAAGTGATATACGCATGTATCTGGTCTTTTTTTAGAAAATGACTGCAGGTATCCAGATCAGGTGCGGGTTATAATAACGTACACTTTCTCGGCGAGCGTGAAGACTAGTTTCCCACTAAACCAGTTTGGAATATTGTTAATAATTTATATGTGGCTGTATTAATGCGAACAAATAATTTTATACTTAACGTCTCAATAAGCATTAAAACTTTATAATATAAATCGTATTTTTGGTGTTTTCGTACCTTGTAATTGATTACGAAAAACACGTGGGTCACCTACAGACCCGGACGTTCTTAATCTGCGCATGATGCGGGCAGAATTGGTTTTAACTCCGGTAACCTAGCTTTATGACGTCTAAAATCACTCATACAGCTAGATAACCAAAGAAAATATCAATTCTGGTGGAAAGTAATCGCTAAATAATTACCTAAATACGTGTGAAAATCCGCACTGGTGTCACGTGGCCCGCACAAACTCACTAATAAATAGAAGGATCGTTCGTACATTATCTGGGAAGGCACTAAGCGAAGAACTGACCAAGCATTGCGGACTATCAAGTGGGCCGTGGCTTTCCCCATCGATATTCCGTTTACAATCGGTTAGGAAAACCAGTTTCAAAAGCCAAGCCTCAGTCTACCCCGTGTGACACTACGTTGCCAAACTTTCTAGTCTCAAGGCAATATTTGGAAACTGTTTCTTGTCGTTAAAATGTTAACCACGGCGAGATGAAGAACTTATCGTGGCCATTACGATGTTGGACAACTTTTCTGAAGGACTGCTGCTGCGCGACTATTCCCTCAAACTTCTTTCTACATATTATTCCCCTCTTAATAGAACCCATCTATGACGTCAACAGATTTACCTGCTCTACCTCTCTGTCTATTAAATCCCAAATCGGTTTCTTATTTTTGTGCAATGTAGCGACCATAGGCGTCGCGGATAATCTGTTGCGATTAGTAATATGCGCACTTTAATCTCACCACATTATACGCAAAATGGTGGAATGTGGTGAACCAGATTTTGATGTAATCACAATTGGAGGGCTCCAAATGAGTAATAAATAGAAAATAATTTACCCAGTATATGAATATTGAAAATATTGGACCTACGCACCTGTCAACAACATACAATTCCGTATATTGTGATGGCCGCCATTTCGCACCTAATATTTGACTCTAAACCGGCCTAGGTATTTTTTTATCGGTAAGTAATAAATAGTACATGTAAATGTGTTGTGCAAATAATTTTGGAAAAATGATGCCTGAATTCAAAGTTAAGTTATTTACTTCAATTTTTTATATGTTCATTCTGCTAGGTTCCAATATTACGTTTTTCCTTTTGATATCTGCGCAAAAAGATTCTTGATAGTCGATTATATTATTTATTATTATTTAAATACAGGGTGTCCCATAAGTAATGGTATCTTAGTCCAAAAGTTGATATTAACCGAGTTACAGGGTGTCAAATTTGCAATTTCAATATAGAGAATAATTTTATGACCTATGTACTTTTCGTGTATTTGATACACCTGTTTAATACAAAAACGGTATACCTCTTAAATTTCGCCATTTAATAGAACAATCTCATGTGAACATGTTTAATGTAAGCTCTGACTAACATAATCACAATAAAAATACAGTAAAATAGTGAAAAGTAGACCCTGACGAAAACAGACACCGTAAAACACTTGCAAAACTAGGCCTTGACTAAAACAAATGCGATCACTTCTGGTGAATTTCTTTGTTGTTAGTCAGTCAGTATGTAAAAACCGAAGGTCTCAGATTTTAATTGGACACCCTGTACATGTCATCGATTTGTTGTTTTCTCAAATTCCTTTAAATAACTTGTATGTAAGCGGTCTTGCTGTTTCTTTTATTAAAAAAAAATATTGACTACCTTTTACATCTGTCTCATTCACTATTAATGCTGGCGTAAAATTCAAATCGAACGAAGAATTTTGCTTAGAGTAATGAGTATCAATATTTACCGCGTTTAGGTAAATACTGGTTTAACTCATCTTAGAACTGTCGATAGTTTGTAAACTGAAAGTTTGTAAGTCGAAGAAACGAGCTTCCATCGATTCCATAGTTAATAATAAAGAACAGAAACAGAGATTGTGAGACACACTCAACTGTGATTACGACCTATCTGTAAGTAACAGGGTATTATATCCGCTTTTGTATCACCTGGTGACACGTAGATTTGCATTTATTTAGTACTTGACAATCACTTCCAGCAAACCTTGCCCTATATGTATGATTAAATGAATTGAAGAACCAGCTCATAAAAGGAAAACCTCATAAATGAAGTTCGACATTGATATCGACATTTTAACTGTCATCGGTACGTAGTGGGATCCAATACAAATGGAAGCAACACAGGTAAGATCGACATTACACTCTGAAATTTGGAGCTTCTTTAAAATATTTTTGTTTGTTTTTTCGTCCCCAGGGAAAATTGAAGTCATTGCAATCAGAACTGTCCATCCCTCGTTGCTAATGCGAATATTGTGTCAAAACCAGGAGAAGATTGCTGCGACAGACGCGTTCGTTGGAACAACGACCAGCGTAGCAGAGGGATGCAGTGTAACCACAAGGGAAGAGAAGGTATAATCAATATTTCACACTGAAATTGATGCCACTTTCGGTCTTTGTTGTATGTTTTCTTCTTTTTTATTTACATGTCTAATTTGCACATCGCTGTTTCAGATCTTGGAGTTTCCAGGATAATAATTGAAGCAAAGAAGTTCCCAGAAATTTGGACAACAACCAGCTGCTAGGAATTTGATATGGTGTGGAAGGAGCAGGTATGATTGACATTGAATTTTGACTTTTTTTTACGTTTCTAATGTATACATCGTCGTTTCAGAAGCAGAAGCTACCTGAAGATCTGAAGTTCAAAGTTCGTACTGCAATACGCAGATAGTAGTGACGTTTCTCTGTTCTATGAAACGGAAACTTAAAAAAACTGGTGCGTAGCAAAGTTTCAAATGATGTCTATTTTTCCAGCTTTATTTGATGTGTTTACACTATCAGATTCAAATTTCTAATTGCTACGTTGTTTGTTTCAGCACTTCGAGTGGAAACGACTCTTCGATGGAGAATACCCGGTTTTTCCGATCACCACACCCAAGATGAAGACGATGTTCAGCTTATCTTAAAACGATAATGTAAACCATAAATTTATTGAATATATTTATTTGCTTTACTTAGCGTTGTTTCAAAAAGACATCTTCCCGATGAAGTATCAGGAGTAAAATCCAAAATTTCAGCTCTTCTAACAAAAATGGGTAAAAGATAACTGATTTTGTGAAATTAATGCAAGTTTTCTTGACAGTTGGTGGATGTCCTATAATTTGAAAAATCGTTACTCCTGATACTTTTCATACCTCCTCACAACCTCTGCTCTCCTGGTAGAAATCGGCAATTCAAACAAAATTCTTGGAAATGGCGCCCAAAATTTCAAGTTTCAAAAAGTTTTCTTGACTAGATGGTGGATGCGCCATGATTTGAAAAAATGTTGCTCCTGTTACTTTTTATACCTCCTCGCCACTTCTGTTCTCCTGATAGAAATCGTCAAATTTCGAACAAAATCTATTGAAATTGTGCACAAAATAGCACACCGTTAGATAAGCGCATCCACCATAAATTTAAAAATGTTCTAGAACAAAATAGAATTTTGACAATTTTTACGGTGTTGTCAGATTGGGAAAAATTTCCTGGAAAATTTGCATTAATTAATTTCTTTATTAATTATTTTATGTAGAAATCGATCGATTTTGCTATATTTTGCCCATTTTTATGAGGAGAACAGAAGTAGCGAGGAGGTATCGAAAATTATCAGGCGCGCGAAGGGCGTGACCAAATCCGACCAATCAGATACTTGGGAGCCATTTTGGAGCGGAGCTTATTTAGCTTGAACCAATGAGAACATTTTAGAGATTTTCATGGTGGATGCGCAAAAATATCAATTTGTTCCTCCTGATTTTTGATTCTCCTTTCGTCAAACTTTCAACCAGATGTATTATTTTCTTTCTTAGAATAGTGAAAAAGAGCGACGCAAAACGACAGCGAATAACAAATGCGTGAATTTTTCTGATTTATTGAGAAAAATAATTACAAAACAATAAAAAATTGTACATTTCAATTTATTACTGGCGATTTCTGTGCTGGCCCCTTTTCCTGGCCCTCTGGAACGCGATGGTGAACTGGATCGACGAGTGCTTAAGGGTTGTTTGTCCTTCAAATCCGAATAACTGGAAATAAAAGTAAATTTATATTTAAAAACTTCCTTCCCCCAAAGTCTGTGAGTATGTGAGTAAAGTGTCGAGTACTTGTGTGCATGTTGTAGGACTGGGTCTGTGTGTGCGAGTGTCTCGCATATTTGTGTGTGTAGGTACGAAACGGAGAATGCGTATGCCAGTATGGGTGTGGAGCTGTGTAGGCCAGTTATGTGTGGCTGTGAGAGAGAAAGAGAGAGAATGCGTATGCTGCGTGCGTGCGTGGGTGCGTGTGAGGGTGAGTGTGGGTGTGCGTGGAGGGTGAGTGTGGGTGCGTGCGTGAGGGTGTGCGGGTGTGAGAGTGTGCGCGTGTGAGGGTGTGCACGTGCGAGTGCGGGTGCTAGTGTGAGTGCAAGTGTGAGGGCGAGCGTGCGTGCGAGTTTGAGGGCGAGTGTGCGTGCGAGTTTGAGTGCAAGTGTGCGTGCGAGTTTGAGTGTGAGTGTACGTTTGCATGTGCGTGTGTGCGTGCGTGCGTGTGCGTGTGCGTGTGTGTGCGTGCGTGGGTGTGTGTGTGTGTGCGTGCGTGCGTGCGTGGGTGTGTGTGTGTGTGTGTGCGTGCGTGCGCGCGCGCGTGTGTGTGCGTGTGCGTGTGTGTGCGTGTGTGTGTGCGTGTGTGTGCGTGTGTGTGTGCGTGTGTGTGTGCGTGTGTGTGTGCGTGTGTGTGTGCGTGTGTGTAAGCGTGTGTGTGTATGCGTGTGTGTGTGTGTGTATGCGTGTGTGTGTGCGTGTGTGCGTGTGCGTGTGTGCGTGTGTGCGTGTGCGCGTGTGCGCGTGTGCGTGTGTGCGTGTGTGCGTGTGTGCGTGTGTGCGTGTGTGTGCGTGTGTGTGTGTGTGTGTGTGTGTGTATGTGTGTGTATTTGTGTATTGCGCTTTTCCAACTTGACTATATTAAGGAGGATTATCTTACCTAGTTGACAGAAGGCTGCTATTAAAATGCTGATATCGGCAAGGGAGTTCTTGTAGAGGTTCTTCCGACGTTGACCCATCTACGATCTTCCAAGAAATACTTTTGCTGTTTAGCTTAGCTTAGAAAATCCTTAAATAATAGTAAGTATATATGATAATGCAAAAAGCTTTCGCAACACTGAAAAAGGCCGTATACTTATTTGCCTCCGACCGTAAGCTGGCATCAATATCAAATCTAAAGAACAAAGAGCGATAGGCTCATATAAGTTTGTGTTCGTGTTTGTACAAATGTATATATGTGTGTCTTTATGCGTATCTGTGGTCGAGAGGTGTGTCCGTTTGTGTATGTGTTCAGTGGTGTGAGTCTATGTGTGTATCGGTGTGTACACATGAGTGTGTCGGTGAGTGATGTGCCACTGTATGTGTCTCTCTGTGAGAGTGATCATTCACCCCCGACCAGAAATGTTTATATCAGTTTGGGTTTTTATTATAATTTTGTCGGAGACATCAACTTCATCAAATTTCTTTAGACGATAAGAGTAAATTTTGATTAACTCTTGTATTAGATAGCCTTATGATTAGTACACGTGTTTCTGGCGGACAATACAATGTCAAAGGTTTCAAGTGAAGACGCCTTGTCTAAATTTCCTGACCGTTGATTTCTGAAACAATAGTGTAAAGACATCATTAGAGCTAAAATTAACTAACAATACAGCATACATTTGGAGAGCGCATTAGCGCATGACCAACTCAAAAACGACCGAAATCGAAAGTTTAGTCCAAATTCATTTGTCACCGTGGTATTGACAAGATCAGTTTATCTCTCGAAGACCCCAGAAATTTTGTAAGATAGAGAGACCAATACCATTATTCTCAAACTTAAAGGACTCTTATTAGTACTTAAATATTTAATAAACTTTTCTTTTTACATTGACATTAACAGGGTTAAAATAAAGCTCATCTACGGAGTTCGATGATATTAAAACAGTAATACTATCTACTAACATTGTAATATGCTTAGGATTTAACCATTCTGACAAAATCACTAATAACCAGTAAGCTCTGAAGAAGCCAACAGGATGATTGGCGAAAAGTCAGCAAAAACCGAAGCAGGAGGCATCCAGAAGTTTTGTAAAAAGTACTACAGTAGCCTGTGGAAGTTTCTTTGAAAAATTAACCAGTATGGACATATGCGGCCAAAGCACAGAACCCTGGGGAATACCGATAGCCTTTATCTAACTAGAAAAAGTTGCGCTGTTAAGTTTGTTAGGTTCAAAAGCATTTTTGAGACAAGATCTATGTCAAGACTAACAATCCTGAGTAATAACTGAGGTCCAACCCAAAGCAAAAAAAAAAACAGACTAGAAGGGAAGATGTTAAAGCTAATAGTCGGTTTTCATTGCGACGCTAAAAGTACCGATAAAAAACACATTCTGCACCATAGTAACTTTTAAATCTCTACAGGAGAACATCTTTTAGCATGTTATCAAAAAATGCAGGTCAACTATTACACACAAAAATTATTAAAACAGAACTGTACGAATTTCCAGTCTCGTACAGTTTAACCAACGTAGAAATAGGAAATCATATGGAAACATAGAAAATAAGATTACACAAAAGTGCCAAAATGTGGAACCGAATAAACATAGATTTAATGAACTTTATTAAAACAAAGCAACGTTAACACTTGTCTTGAAATGTCCTAAATAGTATGCCAAGAATAGGCAATCGACAAAAATGTTATAACACAAATTAATATTCCGGCCTGTGTGGAAGCCGTTTATTTCTGTCCCAAAAGCCGTTTTATCATATTAATGTAACGAATCGGCATCTTAAGATAAACCGAGAAAAGTTGCGTCCATCCAAACGGAGCCAAAGAACATTACCCACGATACATTACCATAACCGGTTTGAATCTCCAGGACCCAGTCTAGTCAACTCGTATATAAAATGGTCCATTTGCGGCATACATGTCGTTTTAATATTAAAACACTCTCTTATTTTGCCGACGAATTCCACGAACGGCGATATGAAATGCGATGGGATTAACATACGCACGTGAACGACCTTTATTAATTCTTTAACGAAAAATGTTATCGGCCCCTTAGTGGAACAAAGATATACCGAGATAACTGGGTAAAAAGAGAGGAACCCCGTCAAAGATTTTAGCGTTCTAAATAAATAATAATCATAATAATAATAAATCATTGTCATATCAACGCTATGTTATATGACACAGAAAACAGTATAAATGGCTTAAGGGTAATAGAAAATATTTATTACATGTTTACCTAAAGGTTTGTTTTGCTTTATTAATTTTGTTAAAATCGGCCTTCATAAATTGTTCAAATGAATCTACTACATTCTGCTTCCTAACTCGTTGAGTATGTTTTCACCCACCAAAACAGTCAACCACTAGAAATTAAAAAAAAAATAAAATAAAGAAGATAGTGATGCCAAATGCTATGGACTAATTTTATAAAACATGTCGGTGAAAACTCTACGCAACTCAAAACAGATCTCCAAATGCAACTGTACATAAAATATAAGTAAAGTTAAGAAGAAATATTATTATTGATTATAACCATAAACTCTCGGTTTTGTATAACTCAAAAATCAGGCTTCAAACTTCATTTAACATATTTTTTTCTCTAAAGAACCGCAGCAAACGATTTTGAAGGGCAACAAAACTTTTGACAAGTAAAATAGCCGAGTGTAGCGCCCTATATACAAATAAATCGTTAAATTGAGTGTCGTATCCCAAAAGAAATCCTCAATTTGAAAATTTTGTGAAAATTACATAAAGGCGATTGAAGGAAAATATGATTTTGCCCGTATGATTATTAATGTTTGGGAAAATTAAAGTCAAAAGCACAAGTTGAGGACTAAAATAAAAAAGACAGTAATACCAATACCTACATTATAAAACATGTCTATAAAAACTCTACACAACTCAAAATAGATCTCCGAATGCAACTGAATATAAAATGTAATTAAAGTTTTAGAGTAAATTCTATTATTTATTATTACTATGGACTCTAAGTGTCGAATAACTCAAAAGTTAGGCCTTGAACTTCATTTAGCATTCCTTTTTCTCTAAAAAACCGCACGAAGCACAAAAAAGTTTTGGCAACGCGATGAATAGAAAATGTGATTTAATTTATAACTTTGACATCTTTGTGGTCGTATTATTATAAATGCTTGGGAAAATCAAACTCAAAAGCACAAGTCGAGGATTAAAATAAAAAAGACGGTGATACCAAACTTATATTATAAAACATGTCCGAAAAAACTCTACACAAATCAAAATAGATCTCCGAATGCAACTGAATATAAAATGTAATTAAAGTTTAGAGTGAATTGTATTATTTTCGTATAACTAAAAAGTTGGGCCTTGAACTTCATTTAACATACTTTTTTCTCTAAAAAACCACACGAAGCACAAAAAAGTTTTGGCAAGGCGACTTGCAGGCCTTTCGGAGACACCCGATATATTTAATACTCTAATTAGGATAGTTAAAAACTCCTTATATCGATAAATAAGTTTTCTGACTCATGGTTTTTTTTTTCACTACCATAACTTTGCAAAGTAACAACAATAAAACAAGAGCGAAGTTGTATGTCGCGCAGTTTGACGGGGGAATTTAATTCAAACGAACCATAGGAGCGGCGGCCTCGGATATTCAGCAGCCTCCCGCACTGAAGCTATTGTACTTTAGGAATGCGGTCTTAGCTTGGACAAGATGGACCACCGCAACTTCGGAGGGCATGAAACAACCTGATCGGCCGGTCGGCCGCCTGGTTCGACCTGCTCTCCTCTTTAACTGTCTTTCGGGCCAACGAATTCCAAATTAACAAGGTAGACGGCACCTTTGGGTCTGAAGATCAAAAGTCGAGATGGCCAGTCGAGAAAAATGCCGGCGAAAGAGAGGTCCGCATTTAAACAAATTGCTTTGCGATATTCAACGTCGAAGGCATCGATTCTCTTGGATATTGTCGATGATTCTCGCCAAGATGTTAAAGAGAAATCAATAATGCCAAAGTTTTTCAATTTTGAATGAATTAAACGCTAATTTAATATTTACAGTAGAAAAATACAAACACAATTTTACCCATTCATTAATCTATTAAGAAAATTCTCAACTTATAACTATACGTTAAGATTAACCATAATAGAAAAATATTTGTAATATGGCGGGAGTCATCTGATAGTGTAAGTTGGGTGGGTCACCTTGTTACTTTCAAAAAATGGATAAAATCGAATTTTTCGAAAGTATACGTGCTTGGCTATGAAACTCATATCTCGGTTGGTCCGAGGGGACCCCCGTTGGTACAGAAATGATCAGCGTCGAAAAAATTTTTTTTTTATTTTCTGTTCTCCGTTTCTCTGTCGATAGGGCATTAAAACGCCATGACTATTGACCCATTTTATCTACGGCGTTCAAATTTGCCTCCTTTAAACAGCCCACGGGGCACATAAACTCATGAAAAATGGCAGCGATGAGACCTCGGAGTGTATTTTTTTTAATGATTTTTTTCTGCCTTTTGGACATTAATCTGAAATACGATGAGTGTCCGAAATTTGCAGCTATCGACTTGACTCCCTAACGAAGCCTATTGAAACTAGAGGAGTTGGGGGGTCGGGAAGCGTTCTTAAAAAATTAAAAAGCGCATTTGTAGCGGTTCGAAAAAAAAAACATCTCTCAAAAACGATACATACGATCGAAAAAACTCTTACACCAAAAGACGCGACCATGATGATTATTTAAAAATGTACAGGGTGTGTCGAAAATTTGCAAAAGATTGAAAATTGGGCTCCCTTTATAATGGTAATTCACAATAACTAGAAGGCTGTGATTCATTTGCCAATTTCTTTCACATGGCCATCTAGCCCGCATAGACATCTAAAGCTTTTGCATTTAAGGTTCTCACATATTGTACCGGGTGTGCGGAATATTCTGTGTTAAATTCAAAAATGTAATAGATGTGTCAAATTAGCAGCTATCGACTTCAAATAGGACATACCACACATAAACTCCAGATATTAAGAACAAACAAATTTCAGTATTTATTTATTATTTTTTTATTATTTTGGCTCATAGAAAAACATCATTTTCTCGATAACCATTTGGCCGATCGGGAGATGCGGGACTATAACTTCTTTTTAAGCGTTTTTTTGATTATACACAGGGTTTTTCAATTATCGAGAAAAATCTAAGAAACTCTAAAAATTGTTCTTTCCCATAGTAAATTTTAGCAGAAAATTATAATATGGCGAATTGTAAAAAAACGTGTGTATTTAAATTATTAAATTTCTTGTAATCTCGAAGTTACTTAAGACCATTTTCAAACGTAAATTATAGGTGCTATGTGATTGATAGCTTTAACACAGCAGAAGATATGGCCGCTATTTAACTAGCACAGCTAATGCAGTGCTTTGATTTATAAAAACAATTCTAGATATAAGTAAAACATATGACGAAACTGGAAAGATCGGACAGGCAGCATCAGATGGTCTTATAGAATCCAAAATCAAAGAAAATAAAATTGGCATAGCTCTGGGAAGTAATCTTGGTCATATAATATTTATTATTTATGTAAATAATTTAAATCATGTGACCGATGAAAATTTAGAAATTACATGATATGCTGACAATACAAA